TTCTGACCTTATGAAGGAGAGAGGGTAATTAATGAAGCAGCTGAACATGGTTGGGCCTAGGACACTACCCTGAGGAACTCCTGCAGAGATGCTCTGGAGCGGAGATGACTGATCTCCAATAACCACAACCGTCTTTCTATGTGCCAGGTATGACTACTACCAGAGGAGAGTTTGTCCTCTGATATCCATGCATTCCAGTTTTGCTCGGGCTTCTTGACTGCCACACTATTCTGTTAGTTAAGCGATCAATAAACAATGAGGCAACAGATATATTTTTATGATAGTACTGATCAGTTTCTTCCAATTCAAGCACGTAGCCATTATAATAGGGTCTTGGGGCATAATCACAGTGTTCCTACGTCTATGCCAGAAGGTCCGGGTTCAAGTTACATGTGCCATGGAGGTGTGTCATAGCATGTCTAAATAGATTCATTAAAAATTTTATACTTTTTAACCCATTATCTCTACCAACCCTCTTCTGCTTTTTAACAATTGCCTAACCAGGTCAATTAGCTGTCCTCAATTCATAAAGTCACAGATTGTTAGGGTGCAGGAGGTCATTTGATCCACTGTGCCTGTACCAGTTCTATTAGCTAGCGCCAATCTCCTGCCTCCCCCCACCCCAACACCCTTACACAGCATTTCTATCAAAATTGTCACTCAATGTCATCTTGAATACCTCAATTGAACCTGTCTCTACCACATTCACAGACAGTGCATTCCATGCCCTGGCCACTTACTGTGTGAAAATAAAATTTCATACATCACTTCATTTACACATCACTTTAAATCCATGCCCTCTCCTTTTTTATTTTACAAGCAGAAACAGCTTCATCCCATCTACCCTATCCATTTGAAATATTTCGATCAGATCTCTTCTCAGCCTTCTGCTTTCCAAGGAGAACAGCCCAGCTTCTTCAATCTATCCTCATAACTGAAGTTTCTAATTTCTGAACCATTCTCTCCAGTACATTCACATCTTTTCTATAATGTGCCATCCACAAGTTTACACATCACTCCAACTGAGATCTAACAAGTGTCTTGTAGAAGTCAAAATCACCTCCCTGCTCTTTTCATGAGCTTGGCTTTTATCTTAACACACTCTTATGGAACACTATGGATTGACTTCAGGAGGTTCACTAGATCCATAGACATTTCCATGCCAAATTACTTATTGGTTCAAAAAATGAAATGTGAATCATTATCATAGAAATCACAGAACATTTGACCACAGGAAAAAGGACAATTGGTCCATTTCATCTGTGCCAGTCAAAAATCAAGCTACCCAACCTAATTCCAGTTTCCAGCGTTTGGTCCACAGGTGTGCAGGTTACAGCACTTGAACTGTTTTTCCAGGTACCATTTAAATAAGGGAGAGATTCTCCTCTATAATGCTTTCAGTCGGTGAGGTCTAGACCCCTACCACTTTGTGGTGAAAAATATATATTTCTCATCTCCCCAATAATTTTTCAACCAATCACTTAAAAATCTATGCCCCAAATCACTAACCTCTCTGCCAAGGTCTTCCCAACCATTTTATCAGGGCTTCATGCAATTTTGTACATCTCACTCAAGTCTCCCTTCAGCCCACTGGGTTCCAAGGAGAAAAACCCCAGGCTAACCAATCTTTCCTCATAGCTGCATTTCTCCAGGACTGGCAACTTTCTCAAACTTCCTCTGTGTTGTTGACCTCCTGAAGTACACGATCTCACACTTCTATGACCAATTCTTAGCTAATCGACGTTAACTCTCCTATTCAAGGGGAACAGAGGTGGACAATAAATGCTGCCCACAGCCCCTGAACAAATCAAAAAGCTCTAATTTATTGAAGAGCTCACTTGCTAGACCACTCAGTTGTTATTCCGGATTGTAATAATATTCCTCACAACAGACATTGCACTAACAGGTTCATTATTTCCTAGTTCATCTAACCTACCTTAAATAATGCATTTACATTTTTAATTCTCCAATTAATAAAAGGACAATTCCTGAATTGAGATAACAAGGTGTGAGCACTTTGCAAGATTAAAAATATCATCTTCACTTTCCTCATTAGTTTTCTTTAAAATACTACACTTAGAACATGTCAGCCTTTTGTTTTCTGAACTATTGCCTTGCTTACTTTAAATGTGAACAAAGCACCAAGTTCACCGAATCCCTCCAGTGCTCATCAGGTCTATACCAACCCTCCAAAGAGCATCCCATCTAGACCCACCTTATCCCCGTAACCCCACATTTATCATGGCTAATTGACTAAACCCACACATCTTTGGACTATGGGAAGAAATCAGAGTACCCACGCAGATTTGGGGAGAATGCCCAAACTTCGCACATATAGTCACCCAAGGCTGGAATTGAACCTGGGTCCCTGACACTGTCAGGCAGCAGTGCCACCCACTGTGCCACCCCAAACAATATCAGGTATATTAACTTCTCCTTATACTCTGAAGAATTGACAGAAGTGATTATTCAATTTGTCTGTCATTTCATTCATTTGTAGATCATCCATACTTTTGGAAGGCCCACATTTCCCTCGATTATCCCTTTCCCCGTAAACAATTGCAAAAATTGGTATCAGAGATCCTTTGTGCAGCTCTCTCTTGCTGATCTTTAAATCTGTCCCACACCATTGGATTTACACTATTCTTCACATTTACAGATCCTTTCTAAAAAAAAGTTTCAGAATATCTCACTTTTTGTTTTGACTATGATTGCGTTAAGTGGTAAGAGGGGCCTGTACTACTTCAGGGTACATAGTGATCCAGAATTTAGCTCAATTCTTATGTAAGCATTTCCAACAAAAATGTTTTATTAAACATCAAAAAGAGCAGTCATCCTAATCCACAGCCCTGGTAATAGATACCAAAGCATATGTTCCCAGTCTGAAAAACAACCATTTTCCCCCTACATTCTACCTCTTAACCAATTTTATATCCACATGTCAATGCCTGATTAATTCCCTGGGCCTTGATTTATCCAGCAGATCAATTTATTTATGGCAACAATAGAAAGACAAATGACAAAATTAGAAGTAATTTTACTCAAGTAAGTCTGAATACTCGTATCAGTTCGAATCATGAACTCTGTTTCTCTCTCCACAGATGTGGCCAGACCTGCTGAGTTTGTCCAGCATTTCCTTTTTTTTTTCTCCAGTCTGATTAGTACTTTTCTTGCATCTTACTATGCTTATAAAGCTTTAAGTGGAAATAGAGCACTAATAAAAAGATATTATTTTCAAGGATTTTATCGATGTGGGTGCTTGATAAGATGCTGCATGAGAGGTAGGTTAATAAAATAATGGCACACAGCAGGCAGGGATTACTCAAAAACAGGCAGCACGGTTTTGTTAAGGGGAGTTCATGATTGACCAAGTTGAATGAATTTTTCAACGAATTGACCAGATATGTAGTCAAGGGCACTGTATTTTACTTTGTAAGGTTTTTGATAAAGATCCTGCATGGGAGATTGATAGCTAAGTTAACAGCCCTGGAGATCCAAGGAAAATTTTGCTAATTGGATCCAGAATTGGCTGATTGGCAAAAAGCAAATGGTGATGATCAAGAGATGTTTTTGTGACTGGAAGCCTGCATCCCTCTGCAGGGATCAGCATTGGGGGCTTTCACTAATTGTGGTACATCTAAACGATTCAGACACAAATGGAGGAGGAACGAACAATAAATTTGTGCAAGATATGAAAATTCATGGGGTGGTAAATAGCGAGGGGGGATAGACTTAGCGGAGCATGCAGAGGGACAAGTCTGATGTCAGATAGGAAGCATGATCAATAGTTAAGATCACAGTAAGCTTCGGCAAGGCACAAAAGACAGTAGTTTAGACAAATAAACATAGAATAAGTCATTCTTGAATGGTAATTACTTCAAACTTGCATATCAGTTATTTTTTCCTGCATTTATCTCATCTAACATTTAATTTCAAACCAAAGTTAGACCCCTTGAATATATAAATCAAGAAAAGACTTGAATTTTGTTGAGGTATTCTATAATAGGTTTAACTGCATAATTAGTTTTACATAGAAAAAGCAATAATGTTATATTCTGTCTGGATTTTTGACAATACAGGAATCCTTCAAGTACTGTGATTGTATTGTAATTGACTTTTATCCCACGAACAGCATCAAAAAGACATTTGCCCAGCAATTAGCTGAATTCTAGTCAAAGAAAATCCTAGCTGGTGAGGTAAGCGAGCTTTTTTGAAAAAGGAGAGTCAGCCTGTCTGCAAAATTTTCCCAACGTTGGCACTGCATTGTGACAGTTACCGTCTGGTATAAACGCCTCCTGAAAGAGCATCACCACTCGTTTGCAAAGTGTTGGATGGAATATAGCCCAGCGTCGGATCTTTCATCACGACTTCATGCGTAAAATTATTTTCCGATTTAAAGGGAGATATGAGTAGACTTCCCTGAAAATGTAAGAACCGCACGACTACTGTATGCAAACATCCAGCTCTACACCTTGTTATCTCTACTGTATGCGTAAACTAGCTCTCTGCAATATGAAGGAGCACAACAGGCCAGGCAGCATCAGAGGAGCAGGAAAGTTGACGTTCCGGGTCGGGACCCTTCTGAAGGACCTTCTGAAGGGTCCCGAACCGAAACGTCAACTTTCCTGCTCCTCTGATGCTACCAGGCCTGCTACGCTCCTCCAGCTCCTCACTGTTATCTCTCGCTCCAGCATCGGCGGTTCTAACAATCACTACGCCATGTGAAATCGTTCGTCCCCTAACCGGTCCAAAAGAACGACAAATAGTTTCTACACAATATATATTTCAACAAACCATTCTACCAAATATTACTATCAAAATATAATTTACAATAATTTAGAAATTAAAAATATTATATAATGTTTAAAAAAATCATTACATAAGTAATACTTTTGAGTCACCTTCCGGCATCAAATTAAAGCAAGCAATAGAACACTCTTACATTCACTCTTAGCATATAATGCAAAAATTAAACTGGGTAACTTCATGACCAAACTTACTGCAACAGCAGTAGTAGTCAACACATTTCTTCAATGAAGAATTGCTACATTGTCACACTATACGCCAGAAGCGCGCTTAAACCAAGTTATTAACGTCATCACGCTAGCGTGCTCTCCGTCATTGCGAGTGATGTCAAACGTCATGACGTAGAGCAGTGATGCCGGGTCAGCGTTTGGTTGGGGGTGGGGGGTTTTTCCTGTAGATTTTTGGGGCTGGGTTTTATTTTCGCCGGTTTCCTATTCGGCCGCTCGATGAATTCGCACGTGGATGGTGGGTAAGATCGATCGCGCGTCTGCTTCGTTGAGCAAGTGTTTTATTTAACGCGGCCCTTTTTTTTGTCCCTGAAAGGGACCGGCAGGTTTCGGAGAGTGCGCCGGGACTCGAGCGAGAGCGCCCGCTGCCTGAGTCTGACGTGATGGCGGCCTGGCCCCGCCCTCTGCTGCCGTTCATTGGCTCAGTCACCATTGTGCCCGGGTGATTGACAGCTGCCTGTTTGTTGAGGGGAGGCTTGAGAGGAGGGAGAATGGCAGAAAGCAGTAGAACTGCTGGTAGAAAAAGGACTGCTCCAAAATCCTCATCATAATTTAATACAGAAGCAAACTTAATGTTCAGCCTCAGGATGTACAGAATATTGATTTCTTTGGTGTGCATGCTACAAGATAGGAGGGATGAGGTTGCAAATTGTTGTCAGGACAACCTGTTGACATCCATCATGTTATATGCTGCAACCCGGTATAACTGTGGGTCAGTGTAAAACGCAAGGGACGATTTTGATGAAGATTGGCCCTCTGGATAGCGTTTGTGGAAAACGTCAGCCAATGCCGGTTACTCGTTTAGTGGGGGATTTGGGATTTGGGAGAAATGGAAACAATCAACAGTAGTGTAAGAGCCGGGTATCAAACCCGAATACACACTGCTGTAATCTAAATAGTTATATGTTCACCCATTCAGAGATTGCATTCTAATCGATTTCACATCCACGTTTGTTAGTAGTTGTCAGGGTTCAGGTGGTTGGATATATTTATTAAGTACACGTACACACACACATAATATTTTTCGCATTTAACAGCCCCTTGTGTACAGCGAGTGCGAAGTGACTTGTCCGTAAGATCAACTGGAAGCTAGTTTTTGGGTGTAGCCTCCTAAGCCTTTTAAACATTTATATTTAGAGTTGCTCTGGCTTCGGCAGCTGCTACTGTGGCCTCTATTGGGCGCTGTCAGTGTCAGTCGGCGAGCGTCACTGCTTCCTCCATTAGGTTTGTTGGAGTTGGGTGAGGGGAGGAAAAAGAGGGGGTCGGGAGGGAGCGAGCGAGGTAGGGAGCTTGGTTTAGCCATGCTCCCGACTCGTTGCAACAAATCCTGTCGGTGGAAGGCCGGTAAGTATTTCTGACTTAAAGAAAAATCAGCTTCCTGCAGAGCTAATCCATTTAGTTTAAACAAGGGTTGGTGTCTTTCGCTACTTCGAGGGGGAGGGGGGTGGACCGGTGGTAAATGTGCGCCACGCACAGTGAGAAGGTCATCACTGTTGCTGATGACGGACGAATAAAGGAGTCGCGGAAGCGACGTATAGAAAGATTTGGCTGGGTAAAATTAGACTGGCGGCCTAGTTTTCCCCCTTTCTTTCTGCCTCCTCGATAGGCCGAAACCCCCACCCTGCGGTGAGGTTGGGAGAAACCCAACGAGGGGATTTCGAATAGATAGTCCTTGTGGTCTTACTATTCGTCTGAATGCTCCACCAGCTCGTTATATCGGTTGTACTGTCGGAGATTTTCCATGTCCATGCGCGCGTGTGCACAGCTATTGGGTGAGTATACGACATGTTTTAACCAGGTGAGAGTTCGGCATGGTTCATTTATTCAGGCACTAATCGGACCTGTACGGAGTCGTCGATTTTGTTTTATTTTCTGGTGGCTTGTCTTTATGACATGGAATTGATGAGTTTTTAAAAATTGAACAATAGATAAAACAAGGTTTCGGTCATGCTACTAAAATAGACCAGTAGGACTGGAGTGCATTAGACATAAAATCTTACCGCCTTTTCGCTAAAATCGACTACGATTTATATTTTCGACTGGCTGAAAATAAAGTGACGGTGAGTAGCGAGGATTGGGGTTGTGCTATTCCTGATATCAGATTGCATTTTTTAACATAACTCTCGTTTTGTCGGAAGGGAGTTTGATTATTGTGTGTTTTCTTCAAATAATTTGACAAGCTTTCTCTGTATATCATTTAGTTAAGCTTACCTTAACTGGAATTGCCCGTCTTTAAATTGCTGTTTTTTTTTCATGATTACCTCACTGACTGTGGGAATAGAAAGTAGATGAATTGTGGGTCGGAAGATGGGCAGGAAGCTCCTGTTTTTCTTAATTTTCGATAGTGCGTAATTGGACCATTTTATTAGCTATTACTTTAAAAAAATCAAATGTGCAGCATCGTCTTGGGGTGGCATGCAGGTAACCTTCATTTTGATGAGTGCATGTCAAAGGTATTGGCAAACGCTTCATTTGAATGAAATAAAGCACCCAGACGATGGAACTGCAAAGTATGTCTGAAAATAGATAGCCCTGTTTTTTTTAAAAAAAAGCCATTATACATTTCTGAGCAACTGGAAATATCTGACGGGATGTAGTACAACAAGGAGATAATACAACAATGTAATTAGGTAGAATTAAGCTTGAGAGCTTTATAGCCATTGAAGTTGTAAGAATGTTAGGAAATTGCATTAAACTGTGTATAAGAAGCTATTACAGAAAATGTAAATGTGTTGGTCTCCCTGAGTAATAGTAAATTTTTACAGAGAAGTGGCTCATTTTCCCTGTATCATTATAGTTACTACTTGTAACTGCTTTAAATGCTTCTAAATAGTTTTGTATATTGAAGCATCTGGATGAGTACTTAAACTGCCAGGGCATAGTAGGCTGTGTGCCAAATGCAGGTAAATGGGATTAGTGTAGTTTGGTGTTTGTTGGTTGGCATTGACTTGGGCTGAAGGGCCTGTTTCTATGCTGTATGGCTCTGAGTCTGATTATTGGTCTTTTTGCTCCCTAAGTGTAGATTTTATTTGTAAATAGCCCTAATAATTTGATAAAACTGACAAAAATGAAATCTTGAATATATGTATTTCAGGTGTGCTATGTTGTATGGCGATCTGAAATTGTGATAATATCAAGCCTGTTTTCTCCTATCAACCTTGGAACTGTTGAGAATGGCATTGCAAAGTTCATCAGAAACCATTCCCAAAAGCCTTGCACTTTATTTTTATGTTTGAAGTCTTTGTGTACCTCCTGAGAAGCAAACAGCAGATCCCCAAGTGAACAATACTGGCTGAAAACACTTTTTGAAATGTTCAATGCAAGAACGTTGGTAGACCATTGGTGTTTCTTGGTCAATGCTGTGCAGTTCCTGAAGGCCAGCCTGCCTCCAAAAACAGAAACAATGTAGCCTGGCTTCCGATACTGCCTATTACTGCAATGTACAATAGAACTACTTCATTTGCAGTCAGCCTGGAAACTGGAAATGTTTTGCAATATAATATTCAATTTTGATTGGCTGTCTGCTAGAGTTTTCTTGCATTCTGCTTGTTTACTTTTTTAATCTCTTAAGATGTCAGCAAGATGATGGCATTCAGAATTATATTTCAACAAGTTACCATCTTAACTAAATTAAAGGTGTGTTGTTGCATTCTAATTCCCTGTCATTGTTTTAACTTGGCTGTAGCATTGGCTATTTCAGTTATTTTGTACTAACTCAGTGCTTCTGTGAATCAAGTCCCTCTGTATCAGTAACGATCTTCACCCATTCAATGGAATGAACCTTTAATGATTTTACTGATATTCGTTGTCTTTCTTCATACTGCGGCCAACAATTTCTAACTTTTGGGCATCCATTTGGAATTTCTTTCAGTTCTTCCATGGTATATAAGCACTGCAGTCAAGGCTGGCATTTGTTGCCCATCCCAACTGCTCTCAGAAAGGTAGTAGTGAGTTGAATTTTTGAACCACCACAGTCATCCTGTGTGGGTTGCCAGAGTGCTGTTAGGAAGGGACTTCTGGTGTTTGACCGAGCAGCAGTGAAGGAATGGCAATGTAATTCCAAGTCAGGATGGGGTGTAG